AATATAGATACTATTTAACTTATTAGAATCGCTACTTTTATTTCCATGAGCTCCCCTCATCTCTTTCATATACATACAACAACTCTTATCTAGCAACTGAAAAACATTAAAACAATATATATTTGTCAACTGAATCACCCAACACAGTTACTTATTTCACTCATTCATAACTCCATGTTTTGTTTTCATGATTATCCCTCATCTCTCTCTTATTTTAACTAATTTTCTATCGGATTTCACATTCTGCTCCACCGACCCATTTCTCTACCTGTACTGTTCACACCAGCAAATAACGCACAAACACCGACCACTAGGGCCACACACACACACACACGGCTTGCATTCTACATGCCAGACATGACCCTTCCGCCCTTCTCTTTCTCGGTCACAACTCTGGCCTCATATACAGAACATATCCGGGATATTCACTCCCCTTCGGACCCTCTGTTATCCGGTCCACCCTGCTGATTGAGCGTTAGTCAGCTGGTTCCTATCACTCCGGCCAGCACAGGCCACACACACACCACACAATAAGAAACAACATACAGAAAAATGTGAATTAGCCTCAGTTTAATATTGATTAATATTTACTCTCTATCTTCTGTCACCAGCGTCCTCATTATCCCACACTACCATCCCTGCCAATTACGACTCCATATTCTACTCTTTTCATGCCCATTGGTCATTATTACTATTCTGTCCTCACCCTCATTCACTGGTTTTTAGTCATTGAAATGTATGGTTCACCTGAAAGTACTTCAACTCACCTCAAAATCGTCCCAACTAACCTATCATCCAGTAAGTTTCTCATCTGTATCAATTATCAAAATGTTTTCATGCTTATGCCTACTTAGGATCTCTTTCTATCCCTCTCTGTGATACTCATCTCTCATTCGGTGCTCTCTCTGTCTATTACCAACTTTTCCCTTCCCTGGCTACTACACACTTCAGAAATTCACTCCCAAATTTTGGTTAACTCCGCCCAGTTTTACACTCAGAACCTTCATATATTAGCCTCACCCGAGCCCTCTCCCTCAGCCTACCATTCGCCAACAGCCACAGTGAAATCCGGACAATGTAATACATACCAGTACACATATATGCATTTTACATTTATTGTTAAGTTTCCTTACAGCCTGCTTCCATCTGTCTCCAGAGACTCCATTTCAAATCCTCCTAATGTGATTAAATGAATTTACATACGTTGTAATTCAAATTCAGGTCAAAAGGGGGCTGAAATGAACTTACCTCTCGGATTCGCGAGACAGAAATAAATCGAGTGGACTCTCTTCCTCTTTTTAGTTCCTCTCAGCCAACTCGCTTCTCTGCTTGGTTGCACTCCTCTCTTCCCGAATTTCTTTTTATTTTGTTCCCTCTCCATCCATCGGCAGCCTCTCTCTCTCTCTGAGGGTTTTTTGGGTGTACAAACAGTGCCATTTATATAGTGGGTAAAATTAAATCATAGCCGTCCATTACGGGATGAGATCTGGACCCTCAATTTCTTATTTCCTTGTTTTTTTTTTTCTTGGGATGTTACAAAAAGAACTCTATGTATTGATGTGATAAAATGGAAGTTCATTATTTTAATAGATTGATTTTTTATTTTACATTTAAAAATAGTATAATAAAAATATAATTTTAAATAAATTTAACTATAATGTTTTTATTGACTCTTTTATCATTTTCATTTATATTTCATCAGCTCACTTACAGAAAGTTAGTGTTTTCTTTGTTAAACATATAAAGCCTTACATACCAAATAATATTATTATGTACTAGTCTTTCCGAATTTAATAACATCTATATTATATTTGATATTATGATTAAGGATTTTATAAAGTATGTTTATAAAAAATATTATATTTGATATTATGATTAAGGATTTCATAAAGTATGTTTATAAAAAATAAGTATCATTTTTACGATCTCATCTTTCCTTATCTTTCTTGTATTTATTATTTGTAACTTTAAACAACTATATAGTTTACAATATAATTATAAAACTAAAAAAATGTCTTTATTATTAGGGTATAAGTTATAACATTTTTGAATCTACCGGATTATTATATCAGTTTTTTTTATGTATATCTCATATGATTGATTGGTTAAATATTATTATTAATAGGGCTAGTGGCATGAAAATTTT